AAGTCTGTTTGCTCTACTAAGAGGGCAGAATCGATCGTCTACACTTTGGAACACGCGGTCTTGCCGTAGGCATTTGTCAGAACGGAACTGGCAAACTCTAACGTGTCAGAAACGGGCGACCTCAACACGACCACTACAACCGCTGGCACTGATCGAATATGCCGAATTCTTGAGATGTTCTACCACGTTGTGGACAATGTTTGCATGGAAGTTTAGGTGCAAAAGGAGCGACCGAAAAGGTTTATGCGAATGCCACTGGCAGCTGAAGTAAGTGGCCCTTTATGTACCCAGAATCTTTACGGTCTCCTAGACCTCTTTCGTAAGCAGTGCAAGGTGAGAGCGCTTCTAGTTACAACTGAACAGAATTTAAAAAAATATTCAGTTTTCAGAAGGACTTGCCATGTGCTAGTGCGCCTGCGCTGCTTCAATATGCCCTGAGAAAATTGTTTACACACAAAGGTAGTATTTCCATTGTAACAAAGCAATATTCATTAAATTAAAATTGTTTCGTGGTTTACATAGGCGAATATATTGAAGATAATTAATTTTCGATCAAGCTGATGCTGAGGAGGGTTTTGAAGATTTCACGTAAGCTCTTTGTTCTGCGTTCTAACGATTAGGGTGTCGTCAAAGTGACTTGAGCCAGAAATTGATTGGCAACGAATGGTACGCTTAACTATACTAATCTATTAAAAAGAAATAGAGTGAATATCCGAATGAATCTTTTGAAAGGTTTGCAATGAGAAACACATGCAAGGCCAATAAACAAGTATGCACGAACTGCGGAAAACCTATTTTTATGCCTGACGAAAATGAAATGCAACAAGCTGAATGAAGAGCTATAGAGTTACGGCTAGATCCTAACAAAAGAAAATAATCATTTGCTGAAAAACATGGAAATCTCGCGAAGAGCGCATCAGCCGTAGGCGAACAAAACGGCTCAATCAGAAAGCTGTGGCCGATTGGCACATTCGTGCGCGCAATTGAAGCATTAGCTATTCCGCTGACCACTACGTGAAGCGAAAACCCGTTAGCATTGCAACAAAAAGGGGCAATTAAAGAACCTCTAAAACGGCTTCTACCTGCGATGATAAGAGTCTTAATAGCATCTTCTTAAACGCGCGTTAATTCCGTAACAATGGAGCTACAGACTCTCTTCGTCAAAGGTACAGAAAGCAGACATCATTCCAATAGCAGAGATATGGCTCTTCTAGGAACAAATAGAAGAACAGGAACCACTTCAGCTTAATTCAGTCATTGCAGCTAAGTTAAGCTATAACGGCCTGTTCGAATTATTCCAGAAAAACAGAATATTGCTAGGAGAGTAAGGTGTTATAGTTCTACGAAATAAAATACCATTTTCGGCAATCAATTTAACATCCGTCTCTTTAGAAGCTGTTCCCTGTAGCATCGTACTTCCACAGAATGGTACAGCTCGTGTTAGTTTACTCTTCGCCTATAGGCACAACTAATAATCTCGTAGACCGCATTATAATAATAAAACTATATTATTATATATTATACACATTATAATAATAAAAAAAAATAGAACAATAATAAAATATGAAAAACGATAGTTATTTCGAGCGATCTAAATCTTTCGCGCATCGACTAAAAACGTTTAGATATACCCGGTTGAAGCGAGGATGAATCTAAAGAAACAATTTCTCAGCTTCTGTGCCCGTCACTTATTGATACCACCCGATAAACCACAAACTTGACAGCTCGGTCGGAATTGTTCTATGCAACGACGATTCAGCGTCGAACGTTGAGATGTTTTCCAACCCAATTGGGTCGAACTACTCATTAGTGAGACATGACCAGACAAAAGGAAATTACGCCGCAATGGAGTCTAATCTGGAGGACATAAATACTATGTACGAAAATTTAAGTTTGCTAATTTACCAACTAGCTGACGTCCCACACAAGCAAAAAGTATGGACATAACTTAACAAATATACATTTCAACTATATTTATCTCTAGAGAGATAATGTCGCCACAGAAAAAAAGCAAATTAAATGATCAGAAAACAACGAGTTATCAGAGAAGGGGGCGATTCACAGTTATATTTGTAAAAAACTAACTGTGCAAGATAAAATAATAGTTGTACACTGAGCGTTAACAACGAATGATCGTCGAAAATACTCGCCGCTTCTTTCGAATCTACAGATATGACGAATCCACTTGAACCTTCTACGGCTCTCTGAAAGCTCTGTTATATTCATTGTCCATAATGTGAATGTCAGTCCAGTAAAGATACCTGAAGGCCTGAAGAAACTGCAATTTAAAGCAAACGAAAGCCCGGACAAACATTTATCATGCATAGTTAAACGGCTCAGAGTTTTAACCTATACAAACGTTTAGGCAATCTATCGAAGGTGCTTGAGTGGCAAATATACGACAAATCGTGATAATGAGCCCGGTGCATAAGAGAGTATCGAAGGCTGAGTCTACCAACAAAGGGCCGCTATCGCTAACTATAGTAGCATGCAGACTGCTGGAGGCCATCATCTGTGCAGCCATATTCTAGAACGTAGACGAGCAAAGATTGGTATCGACGCTCAGTTCGCTCATAGACCAGGACGAAACACCGATCTGCTATTAGAAACAAAATTCGCATGGACAGAGTTGATCGATATGTCTCGCTGTTTCGACGTGGTATATTTCGGCTTGAAAGCAACGTTTGAACGAGCGACTCATTTGCAGCTCCTCAATTGTCTCTCAGCTTCGCCATTTCGACTGATACGATTGACTGATAGAATAAATTTAACTACTTTTTACTGATCGTATCCTCCGTGTCAATGGAAATCAATGGGAAATACTCAGATACCGCCAAAGTATTCTTGGATTATCCTCAAAGCGTAAGAGATCTCTCATGGGTACTTTGTAGATAAATTAAAGATACTATCCTTGTCGGTGGTGTTAAAACATATGCAGATGATATAAAAATATATGCAAGAATCGATCGAAGGCAATGGTGTCTTCTTGCTACAGCGTACCTTAAACAAGTTTTTAAAGGGGTCCGATGGATTAGATTTAAAACTATCGGTTGAAAAATGTCTCATTCTCCACTTTGGACATATAAAGTCCAATAATATATATTCCATTGGACTCAGCCTACAGGCAGTGAAAACTGTCTTTAGTTTAGAGGTTACCACCCCAGTTACCCTAAAATTAATATGTCACATGCATAATTCTTCGGGCAACGCGCCGCCATGTCAGCATTTCACGCTCATGGAAAACCCGATTTTATATATTGGGCTAATTGAAATATGTTAAACCGTTCATGACATAGCCAGCACCCGCATGGTGACCAAGTTTTAAAGAAAAATCATTAAAAAACTTCAGGAAATTGGAAATGCATACGCAACACACGCTGTCTGAGAAAAAAAAATGGCTAAAAACCCCTCTAATTCCTGATAGCTTCGACGTCATTGATTAACGGACGTACGAAAGTGTCAGCGGACGGTTCTAAAATTTAACAGCAATATTCGACAATCAAAACATGTACCAGATCTTAGAACAATATTTTACTAAAAGTTACAAGACAAAAAGCAGTACGTAAATAACTTATTCCCGTATAGAGTCTTCCGTGCACTGCACAAACGATCATCACACAATGGATAGCGCATTTGGTTCTATGTATACTACCATTATAATAGAAAAACCTCTGAAAAAGGTGTGGTATTCTAACGACGATGGTTGTAGTCGACGATTTGATATAGTCATATATCATAATATTAGGGGCACGTTGTGGTCCAGGGTAGAATCTAAGTATAGACATATTTTGTGTAACGATGATGGCATACCTGACGGCGATGCTACTGCAAACTCGAAACATAGAGGTTTGCCATTGACTATGATTTAAAATTTTTGAAAGATAAGAAAATGTGATTGTCTGAATTAATTGAATTATTAATTAACTGAAACCATCAACCAGTCTGTAGTTTGTATACGAATGTAAGTGACCAGGGAATAACCGAGTCAGTCGTTTCGAGAATAGCTCTAAACAGAGGTGCCGTAAATCTGTAACTTTGAATCATAATAACGATGCTAAGTGTTGGCCTAAGGGACACACACTATAGAAACATATTTTCACGGGAACTGCGCATCCGTGAATCGGTCTACTCGAGGAGACGTTTGAAGTCTTAAATTTATGAAGAAAAAATCATAATCCTGGTCTGATGTCTCACCATGTTTCACGCTTCACCTAATCATACAAGCCAATAATGCTTTAACACTTTTGACAAGGTGGAAACCTGGTCATGCATTGAGTCAGTAAAGAATCAGTGGAGGCTACGTAAAAGATATGACAATCGTAAGGAAAATTAATGTGACCAAAAACTCACATGTGAAAACGTTCTTCGAGACGGTTTTAAAATCTGAAGAGAAGCGACACAGGGAAGAAATTACACGAATCAAGCGGTAGACAAATTAGCTAATCGGTAAGCGGTGACCCGGGCACCAACTCCGCCGTCGTCGTCGTCCTCTTAAGCCACGTGAGAAAAGATGAACTTTGTTGACAAACATTATCGTTAATTACCATTTGCTTGTCACATTCTGCTAAGGCTATTTTAGAGTTTCAAACTTTCGACTACGTCACATCGTTTTACTTTACGTCTACTTACTTTTCATCCTTTGGCCGATAGTAGGTGTTATTCGCGTAAGTTTAGTTATTGCTAGATACGAATACTTATCGGTTAGGAGACTGTGGCGGGCGTAGAGGATTAGTTAGAGTTTAACAATCGAACTTTTACTTTTGTATATAACGCCGAAATATAGCCATTTTTAAGTGTTTGTGAAAGTAAGTCCGTGAGGCTTTATCGGTTCAAGTTGGATGCAGATAATAAATACGCGGGATGAAGCATTTTTTACGAGTACGTAAAGCAAATATCGATTTTTCTTTTGACATACCGTTTTGTAGGTGTTGCGCCACGATACGCAGATAGGTTGTATCTAGATGAACAGCACGCAGGTAAGGTAAATAACCAGCTCCAATGAACAACAGTAATTCGACAGATGAATATGCGCTTCTGTTTCGTTCTGCTTGCAGAGCGGTGCGCTGAATTAGTTTTGCATGTCCTGTTTGCTGTACTAGGCCGCACCAAAGGTAGGAAAGCATCTGCTTTCAGCAACAACGTCGATTTGCCTATAATGGGCGAGTTGCCCAACAGTATCTGTACATTGCAAAGGTGCTAGATAAGCATTTTCGTTAAACCCTATGAGACCCGATGTTTCCGTCTTCTCGAAAAGAAGGTGAAAACGCTTATATTGTGTTTGTTCCATTATAATACTAACGGTAGGACACAAACTGACACATATAGTGTTCGATAAAAGAGCTCGTGCAGTATTCAATCGTTTTTTAACGAAGATCTGTAGCTTTTCCTTTACTGACCTGTTAATCCTATTTGGATCCCCGAGTGATCGTAGACCCTTTCCTGAAGAGCTGCCACGACGCGTTCTTTCGACTAGTGGCGTACTCTATAGCATCGTTAGAGGCTGAGTCTTTGCAGAAGAGTTCTACAAAGCCTCTGTGGTGTAACGTGGGGACAAATGTTTTTCGATGCACCAAGTTTACTACAACTAATTTGCATACCTCCTGCTACCTAAAGCTTCATTTTAATTTTAATGGTACGGTAATAGAACAATCTACCCCATAATATATTGTATATATACGGCGTATACATGATACTTTATGATAGGACTTACCACTCATAATGCTACGTTTTACAGACTAACGCAATGACGCTGTAGCCGTTCTTCGGATAGCATCTATAGAATCAACGACGATTTCCGATCGGAGTCGCATCTGAACTACGTCCAATCGGACTACTGTCCTAGTATTACCTAACCGAAAACCATAATTCATAATATTTCATGGATACCAAATAATGACTTGCGTCAGTAGCTTTTGGCGGTACGCCAATGCCATGTTCGAAGTCCCAAATTTAGGCCTTCCGGTTAATCGTATGAGTCGTGTCGATGCTACTAAAATACGTCCATGGTGACCGAGCTGCTGAGTTGTTCAGTAATTATATCAGTCAATCGTATATATATATATACATATGACCGTCCCATTTTATCATGTAAATCGTAAGATAATTTCACTGAATAATGAAAAGGAAAATAATTTGAAATGGCGCACTCTGCTACCGAAAAGACAATTCTTTTTTATTTTTATACCACCACTTTTTTATACTCATTTACATATATCATTTACACGTTTTTGTACATCTCGTCTAGTTGGTTTTACATATATTACATTACTACCATTATGCAGTTCATAGAAGTTGGCGTTTTTCCACGGCACTGCAAATAGAGGTCTGATTATTCAGTGGTTGACTGGTTTACAGTCTTTGCGTAAATAAAAAAACGTACGTTTTTCATAAAAAAAAAATGTATGCTGGAACTGATAAGCCGCAACGCACAAAAACACGTATATTTTTACGGTGTCTCCAGCCGCTTAGCTAACGAAAAATAACCTTCACTAAGCCTGACAAATTTTCAGATGATACAAAAAACACCTTAACATGGGAAAGAATGCCTCGGAGAAGGTCACATGTTAAAACTATTATAGCGTGTGGATTGAATAGTTTATTTGTATGTTTTAAGGCTTAATTATTCTGTCTCAACTAATTGCTTATTAGCGACATCTATCCGAAGGTTACGATGGAAGACTAACGAGCATGTCGCATTGTTACAAGTAAAAGATGCCTTGTTAACAATGGACGAACAGCAGCTTTGTGATATTATAAATACAACGAAATTTACGTTTTTGCCGGTTGCGGGAAATATTCACAATTAGATTCTGGTATGAAAAAACGTTAGCACGGTAGTAACGTATGCGGTAAACGATGATCTGTTATTTGTATAACCGTACGTTCCTCAAGAACTTGTGAAACTTCACGCTAATCTTTCTCCACTTCCGGTGAGTAATAACTGTCTCCAGAAGGGGCAGCCCATTGAAACGGTACTTCAAGATAATACAAACTTTGTATTCATGTGCAAGCGAATGTCTCTTTTATATTCTGGTGAAAGATCACATGGCACTGGAAATATCACAGAGATCCGTTATGATTGGCCATCGTTGCCGAGTCCATAACTAATTGTGTCTTCGTCTGTCTTCGACGTTGTACCTGCTCTTTTCGAATGATCCGTTGTGTCAACGGACAAAGGACATGAAATGTGTATATCTATATATATCTGGTTATTATAAGCCAAAAGTAATAATTAGGACAAAAACTCGAATGCTACAGTAGACCATTTCGCATGTCCGTAGAACTTATGTGACAAGCGTTGTACACATACCGATCACTTCTGGGAACTTGTTTAGCTTAATTTTTATCGTACACAATAATATTGATTTCTACAGCAATTAATGAATATCCTGTCCTTAAAAAAAGCCTTGTCTCTCTACATGCGTTCGGAAGGCCCAAGTAATAATGAAAGATTTTCTTCATTCTGATCGCTGTCGTTGTATATCGGCTTGTTTATATTGGCGGATGTATTTACAGTGGTCAACAATGCCGGTCGTAAGGGTCCACCAAATTGAACCGTTTGTTTTTGAACTTAGCTAGACTCTCTTGATAAACTTTACGAATCGCTACTTATATTCAGGCCAATGTGTTCGATCTTTGTAAGCCATTTGATCCAAACTCAGTCATTCCGACCGTGACGGCCTTAAGTTGACGAGCTGCTGCTCTGCACTGCTGACAAACCTAGTGCACAGCTAAATACCTTTTGTGTACTGCCTGAAATGAAAGAATAGTCCAGCAACTGTTACTACCTCTCTTGTCAAATATATGCGGCGACCAAGTTGAGGTCTGACCTTATGGCTTTGTTTCGGTGTCGCACGTCTGGCATTGCGTAGCGCAGCTTGTTCCAGAAATCCTTCTCGCCCCAGTGCAGAAACGTGCTATGTTTAAGCCATGCACGAATATCTGGATCTAGCTCACGGTAGGAAACCCGGCCGAGGAATATCACGACCAATTTGTGATGACTATTGTTAAGTACTTCGAGGTGGGCAGACTTAAACTCGTGGCGGCAAGACCCGTTCTTGAGAAAGTGTTCCGATAAGACGACAATGGTTCCCCGGGAGCTGTCCACTGCTTCCCGAATAGCCTCTTGTAGGTACGTGCCCGTATGTGACAAATCGCGGTAATGCAAACAGAGGCGGTACGGCGGCCTGCCACATTCCAGCTCTGGAGCCAGTACCTGAGTTACAAATGCCTCGTCTTTTTTACTATACGACACAAACGCGTCAAATAGCTTATCTCCCTCGGCGGAGGCCCGGTGGAACATACGTACCCCGTAGCGGCTGAATAGACACACACTAATCCGGCGACGAGAAGGGGTCAGTACGATGGCGATGATGAATAAAGCGAACAAAACAACGCCTCCTATTATGAAGGCAACGGACAGAAAGTCTTCTATGCGTCGAATCTGAAATTGTGGCTGAAATTGTGGAATCGTCACATTTGGAAGTCGATGACAGTCGATCATATTCGGTTCCCACAGAGGTAACGTTCTTGTTGCATTGTACACACACGTCATCTGGAAGAGGTCACAGGCCGTGTTCTTGTGAGACACGATAAATTGAGCAAGTTCTTCAGTGAAATAGCAGTTGCATGACCAAGGATTAGCCGCGAGATAGATCTCGGTAAGGCGTGGATTACAGTGCAAGCTCCAAAGAGACATATCAATTAATCGATTGCGGTCCAAACGTAAAACCTCGAGACTTTGAAGTTCTGCAAACGTACTGTTATCGATGTAATGAAGCCTATTGTTTGATAGGTATAATTCAACAAGTTTCGTTAGTCCATTGAACTCATGCCCGCTAAATACTGAAATCTGGTTGTCTTCCAGATGGAGTACACGCAGTTGCCGAAGGCTGGCAAAAGACTGATTCTTAATCGACACTATATTTGAATTGTTTAGAAAAAGAACCTTCAGACTTCCCATATTTACGAATAAATGCGGATAAAGAGTGGGAATTTGATTGCCATCTATATACAATTCACTAACTTCAATTGGTAGCTCTTTTGGTATGACACCCTGATTGCGGCCGCCACAATCAACGATATTGGTTTGCCACGATTGGTCATGGAAACAGCTGCAGTTGTCCGGGCAGACCATCCGACAGTCGCAGGCCTCAAATTCACAACAATCGCATACTGAAAAACAGTGGCTCTTGATTTCACAGAGAAACTCGGCCGACTTCGCTTTGACTAAAGGTAGTATCCGAGTTCGTTTCGAGAAGCCAAGCTTACACATGACGCTCGATAGATCATCGATACGAGGATATAGTCTTGGATAAGCACTATGCATCGAAGTGATGATTTGCGTCGAAAAGTTTTGCAGTCCCTGTAACCATTCCATGCGACAGTCGCACAAGTATGGATTATTCGCTATTTTGAACTCAGGAAACGGCTGACGGCTGGGTGACGCGCTTAAACAAAGGGTGCTCATGCTGAGCACCTGTAGCTGATTGTGCGTTAAATCGACACGAGCCAGATTTGGTTTCTCCAGAAACGTGAATGGCTGAATACGTTGTAGATGGTTGTGTGTCAGGAAGACGTTTTCAATGCTGTTTGGTAATGACGATGAGTTAAGGAAAGTAAGTCTGTTGAACGACGCATCGATGGTACGTAGTTTCAACACATGCTCTAAACCGTAGTAGTTGCCAAGAGCTTCAATTTGATTGTTATGAATATCGAGCCATTGAAGACCTGCTGGAACCATTGCATAGTCAAACCATCGGATGCGGTTCACCGAAATATTGAGCATGATTAAGTCATGAAGGCTAGTAAATAGGCTGCTTACATCATGAATAATGTTTGAGTCTAAACGAAGAAAATATAAATTAGGTAGATTATCAAAAGCCCCTTTTTCAATAGCTTGAATGTTGTTACGGGCCAAATAGAGAATTCGTACAGATGGCAAATTATTAAAAGCACCCTTTCTAATGCTCCGGATGTTGTTTCCTACGAAATCCAAAGCAAACAATCTCGTAAGACCTTGGTATGGGGCATTTGTTATATCCTGAATATTGTTATCCGATAAATTGAGCGAATTTAACATGTTTAACACTGACACAGCTTGGGGAACAACAATCAACCTGTTTCCTGCCAGGCTTAACTCCTGAAGCATCGACATGTCCTGAAACGCATCGTCATAAATGCTTTCCACGTAATTCCCGTCCAGGTGAAGTGCAGTAAGCGACAAACCGAGGCCAAACATCATACGAAAGCCAATGTGTTGAAGGCGATTATTGCTTAGTACCAGCGACTGTAACATGCTAAGACCCTGAAACGTGCCGTTGGCAACGTGCTCAATCAGGTTATTCTGCAGTTGAAGTATCTGTAGACTTTCCAACGCGTGGAATACACCAGACTTAAGGCTTATCAGCCGGTTGTGGCTAAGGTCCAGCTCCCTGAGTCGTGTCAGGTTTGAAGAACCGTCAGGATTTCCAAGCCAACTCATCGATGACAGTTGATTGTACGCCAGGTCCAGTATGCTCAATTCCTTTAACTCACTTAACAAAGCTGGTGACAATGCACTTAATGAGTTGTTTCGTAGATATAGCTCTAGTAGGCGTGGCGTCGGTCGGAAGAGAGCCGCTGGAAGGGCTACCAGCACATTGTGGGCCATATCAAGATGTAAAAGTTGGGCAAGACCCCTCAAAGCGGTCGGTTCTGCTCTGGCTAGTTGATTATGATCCAGACGTAGTTCTTCTAGGCGAGTAAGGGACGCGAAGCCACGTTCGGGTAGCGCCTTTAGCTGATTGAAGCCAACGTCTAATCTAGTGACCATAAGGCTGCAACTTGTCACAGAGGAAAGACCCATATTTGACACGTCTGCAAATTTATTTCCTGTCAAATTGACGAACCGAAGATGGTTAAGCCCACATAGAAATTTATTCGGGAGCCACTCAATATTGTTCTCACTAAAGTCAAGCGATATAAGCTGTCTAAGCGGTAGAAGAGTTTTTGGTGATACCGAAAGCGACAAATGGCTTCGTTCGGTGTTGAGCGTTTTTACAGTGAGGTTTTTGAGACCCTCGAGCCCTTGAAATGTCTTAAGCGGCAGTCTGTCGAGATGGCAATTTTCTATGCTGAGCGACTGTAAATTGCGTAGGTGTTTGAATGAGCCTTCAAGCAAACTATTCGTATGAGATATCTGCACGCTGGCATCCGTACAACGAATAGATAAGCGCACATTGTAACCCGGCATGATTAGTGAATAGTTTATTGGATTCGGTTTTCCCTGTAACGTTGTTAAATTGCACGTCACAGAGAGGGTAGTGGAGTTTATCGAGATTGGCTCCCAAACGCAATTTTCGACACAAACGTAGTGGGCACCTGCGCCCATATTTAAACTGCACCATAGCAATACGCAGGTTATAACGGTAGTCACAAGTGTCGAGAAAATGTCCCTTGGACTATGCCTTTCCATTGTTGGGTTTAATAGCTAAGGGATACACAACACAAATGTTGCTGAGTTATACCTCGAAGGAAAGCTTCGCGTATCGTCTGCGTTATCTGGTTATGATCACCGATTCGCTACATCCGACTGGTAACATTGTCTAGCCGCAGGACTGAAGCCAAACTTGGAAGATAGAACGTTGCAAGGTACTCGTAATCGAGCGGTAAGTCACAATTCTAACATCATCAATCATGTTTAGCTGGACGCGAGCTTTTCGTCTATACAGTTAGTTCTATTTAACATTAAATCGAGGTGTTAAATTTGCATTGTAACTGCGGCACGACACCATCCACTACACAGCGATCGCACGACTGGCGCGTTCAATCGTAAGGTCGAGTCACGGCTCCGCTTTCCCAATGTGGAAAGAGTCAATGAATTGGAAAAAGTGAGCGAGCGTGATACTGTGTGTGCATGGGACAAAGTCTTGCCGGTCGATTTTTTTTTTTCTTATCGTGATAACTCAGTATGTAACGTATTTATTATTATTCGGATCGTTTAATATTGAAAGTCGTTGTTCTCGTGGTCCAGCTGTAACAGCTTGATTATTATTCAGATCGAATAGATAATAATAAGGACTGACTCTTTTACAGTAAAATAGTTCAAAACAGGTGGTCCAACGACCCAGTAGCATAAGCCAAAGTCAATGCACTACTTTATAGGCGCTTTGTTGGTTGAGGTTAGTTGTGGCGGCCGAGAGTCGTGGGTACTTTCCAAGCTCGGCGCTAGAGCATATTATCAGCATCTGAACAAGGACAACACGGGCGTAAAGAGGCCCACTTCAAAATCATTTCGGTTCTAGTAGGGGCACTGAACTTAGGGTATAGATGGCTTCGGCACCAACCAATCAAATCAAATAAAACTCAAGCCAATAGGTAATACTTAAAAATAAGTGTATGCATTTAAATAATAATAGTGAAGGGAAAGTGACGACAGTCGTATGTCGAACGAAAATGCCCTCGAATGCTTGACTTACTCCAGTGCGTTTTTACGCTAGCTTAATTTTGTGTTTTTTAATAGCTTAATTTCGAAACTGATCAACAGTGGTAGTAGTAGTAGTAGTAGTAGTAGTAGTAGCAGTCGTCCGTCTGTGCCGTTTGTTAAACAAAAAAGCCAAACAAACCGTTGGGTTAACGGTCTTTGTTCTTACAGGTAATGCAAGGAGAATTACCTGATGCCAACAGCAGTATTAACCGGATGTCTTGTAGGTGTATATAATTCGGTTTGATATCATGAGATGTCCACTATGTACGAGACGCTAAATTTGTTTAATAAATATATCAATTAAAAAACGAAATTTACTCCGGACAGTTATAACGATAACACTGCCAGTGGTCACTGTTCTTGCAAAACAATGAATTTAACCGGCCTCGTATCCCAGCGGAGAAAACTGCTATCTAGTGCAAGAACCTAGCGAGCATGTTCCTGAATCGGCTATAAATCGAATCTCTAAGCTGAGATGTTTCAGTATAAAACGATAAGCCAAAAGGCGTTCCTTCTATTATACTTGTTCACAGTATAGAACAACGTATGTACCTACTACTTTTCAAGTTGTAGCCAGGTAACTTTATACAATAGATGATCATTGACGAAAACTGTGCTCCTAAAAAAAGGACAAATACTGATTTCTAACGTACTTGTAACTTCGTATTTGTTACCGGAACAATCTGATGTGGTACTGTGGTGCTTGGAGACGTACGCTGTCGCCAGTTTACCTATTACAGTAAATATTACTTACGATATAAAAACTTGTCGACAAGCGATCCGGTCCCACATTTTGACGCTATACAAACTTGACGTCATAGTTCGTGCATTTGTAAATAAAATGGCACTGCAGCTCTTTTCTAACTATTCAGTGATTACAATTGAATATAGTTATGACAAAAACAGAGCGTGACAAAACCGGAGCCTTCGTGTGAAAAAGCAAATGAGCCTCTAGTATTTGGTCGACTGGGTAATTTGGTCTAATGTTAGTTTTTGCGTGGCTCTAGAGACAGAGATACCTCAGTAATACCCGTTGCCGAGTTTATCACTGTATTTGCAAAATACGGAAGATTACTTAAAAAAAAATGCATGTACTATGTATCCAATCGACCAGTTGATAGCACCTTGACGTTCTCACTAAGAGGGGTGACAACGGAGTTTGAATTGAGTCTGGATTACAATACCCCATCACTCAAGTCAGGAGTGCGTTTTGATGACATATAGATCATCATGAGCTTCACTGAGGTGAGAAGTCCAATATTTAACACATTCTTCTACAATTCAATTCATATTTAACCCGACGCAGATTTAACCGTGATACTAGGATAACCAGCATTCAATGCGATATCCCCGCAAGTGATCTTTCGAATTGTTCGTCCATAAAAGCAGGTAAACCATTGTTCAATAATATTACTGTTTTTGAGGTCAAGCAGGCCTAGCAGAATAAAAAAAAAATCAAGATATACATTGAGGCCATGCTGTTGTCTGCATATCATATTTCTGAACAATAATCTCAGTGAAGGTTGCTGAAAATTAAATTTGTTATAAAAATATATAACATATTTTGTATATAAAAACATAGTTATAGATGATTATGACGATAATATGAAGCTTTATAGCTATCTGTAGTCCACTTTACCTACACATTGTTAGTACTCGTTTATACAAAATCCTCTGAAGTTCCCTCATTCGAACTATCTCATACTTCGGAAGTAAGCCGCCTAAGCAGTATATCTGAGAGGGCTTCCACTGATGACTTTCGTACATAATATACATTACACAATCAGGCGGAGAAAAAAGCATTCGCTCATCCGCGTACTAATGTGTACCGTCTATGTAGGCACCATAAATAGCCGAATAGGGATTAGAAAAATGGGAAAACTACAAGACAGATATCAGCCTCCATAGATAAGTAGCTAAACAAACAGCTTGTATATATTTTAAATCCAGGCAGCGAATAACGTTTACAGTTCTGAATAAGTGCCGCGCTCAGTGAAGACTTAGAAACGCAGGCTGCACGTTTCGTCAAAAAAAGCCCATTCAAATGGAAACATATTACGTACGTATAAACATTCCCTCAGTGCATGGTTTAAAACATTTTTTTAATTGTATTCATTAATATACGATTATTGTGTTTCGTGGCCATTATTTTCAAGAAATTTTGAAAAATTGTAAAGTAATTTTCTAAAATGACTAGAAATTTATTTGGAAGATTTAATTGCGAAAAAAAAAAAAAAAAAATGCATTTCTTGGCCAATATCTATATCATCGATAAGTCAAAAAATAGCTCATGATACAAGACTTGAAAGTACCGCCGCCATATTTTGTTCAAAACGATCGTAAGATTTGATTGGAGCTTTCGTGTCCTGTCGGACATACTGTTGTCTTGACGAATGGGTCATCTTCGAGCTGGTGTCAGTACTAACAATGTTATAATACTATCATCCCAAGCTGCATCCATAAGTAGTATTCGCACTAAAGTTGGCTTGTTTAACCTTAGTTATTAGTTCGGAGCAATCCTTTCAGCTCTACTGATGCGCACAAATTGAACATGACCAATTATAGACCCTCCTGTATGGTATCCACAACAAAAGGCCGAATAGATAGAGGACATTCAATAGGAAGTCGACGGCTCCGACAGCAATGGTGTTGTTTCAGCGATCCTGTAGGCTTTATCTGTGGCGCTGTGTTTACTATAGGCCTTTTTCGACTCACTAATTGCTATTGTTTTCGCAATTCGAGCGATTCAAATACAGATAAGGAGCCGTAAATTTTTATGCCAGCGCAAATGGAACAATATAGCGTAGCAGTCGATCAGAACGTCGAGCACGACAAACCAGGTCGACAAAACAATTATCGTCAATCATTGCACCGGGTGAGTAAGGCATCGGTTCTTGGGGAAATGGTAGAGAGCTTCCTCTAAAGCAGTAATGACAACAACGATAGTAGCAGCTGTTTGATTGCGATGTCCGATTGTTATGTGGGTACATAGTCGAAATGGTTCGTCTGTGACCGCTGAATGAAGAAGTTGGTTTGCCAGACAACTTTATCGCCGAATACTATGAAAGTAGGAACAATTAAGGTTAAAGTCCCAGCGTTTCCCCTGCCACCTGTTACCTTTCCTGATGTTCCCAGATGAATGGTACAAGAATTATTACTGAACTAATATATATTTGTGAAGAACTTGGCCGGAAACTGAATATGTAGTGGCTAGCAACTAGGGTATTTAGTTTCCAACCGTCTCCGGACTGGCAGCGGTTGCTTATATTCCTGACCGTAACGTTCAGCCACCGCTACTACTTATGTCGCGTGCGCGCAGCATTCGCGTATTCCCTTCGTAACTCCATATGCCAATGGTATCTCATCCTGGCATTGACCACCTCGCCGGATTCTTCAAACTGTCCTGGAACTCTCATGCTTTCGTTAATCGTCGCAGAACGCCCCCGGCATGTTTCTTTTTAGAGTCATTATGCTCCACGTCTGGCGACTTCGTGCGCTCTACTAGCGCTTGCTCCGCGTGCGGTACGCGTGTGATCTCCGGCCGTTCGTCAACTAGTTGATGGAGGACTAAGATGTTGATCGGACGCTGAAAATACATCAGGGATCCGAACTGGTAACTGTCTGCTCTTCACCGTAACTAGAAGTTTATATATATATATATACATGTATATGTATCAAATGTTCCTTGCATAATAAGTCTGATCAAAACCATTTACTAGAATTTTTCATAGGGTTCAAATAGTACAACCTACGTACCAGAGCCATCAAAGCTTAAGATCTATATTACGGAGGTCGAATGTGGGGTTTATCTGCAGCGGTTAGACCAATTTCTGCAGAGACCCCTGCCCACAAGTTCCTTGTTCCTCTCTTAATGTTCACCTCAAACGAGCCCAGAGCTTCATTCAACGGTACTATAGGCTGATAATAGAGAGTGACCACCAGACCATCAGGCTGGGGTCACCTTAGTCAACTGTTCCTCTTTTCCAGTCGAGATAATTCCGTGCATGGGGGCTGCTGCCCTTCAGTGTGTCCTCTGAGCCTGAGCACAAAACGTCATCTATCCCGACCTTAACGCTGCTTAGATGAAAACTCAAAAAATTTTATTTGTAAGATAGATCTACGACAAATAAACTCGAGAAAATAAGTCAATTATCGAGCGCTTTTGGCTGAATTTCACATACCTTATTTGCTCGACTTATATTTCTCTCCCAATGTCGTGATGCACTTCGAAACATACATAGTTTAAAAATAATGGTCCGTGGCCTGAAAAGGAAGTGATTTGGTTTTAATCATACTTGAATCTAATTGAAAAATTTTCCTAAATGATGAAGTATCTATAATTAGCTAAATTGTGTTGAATTTCTTTTAATTATTAATGAATGAAAAGATTCGTTCTACTATGTACTGTATACTTGGCTTGATTCGTGCCTTAGAAGTGTCGATTCGAAACGCGTATTTGTTTGGAACAGTTTTTGATTAGAAGCAAGATAATAGCTGAGTTAC